AAGCACGGGCCATCAGGACACAAAACCCCCGTGTGGGCCTTTACCGCTTTGCCACTGCTTTCCCAGGTCACCGCGAACACGTTGCCCTGCAGCAGCAGTCCTTTGCCAGCGCCTGGCCAGTCGCCATACTCCATTTAGAGGGTTTCAAAAAGTGCGCGAAGCACGGCCCATCACAACACAAAACCCGTCTGTGGGCCTTTACCGCTTTGCCACTGCTTTCCCAAGTCACCGCAAACACGTTGCCCTGCAGCGGCAGCCCTGTGCCAGTGCCTGGCCATGTCGCCATAATCCATTTAGAGGGTTTCAAAACGTGCGCGAAGCACGGTCCATCAGGAAACAAAACCCCTCTGTGGGCCTTTACCGCTTTGCCACTGCCTTCCCAGGTCACCGCGAACACGTTGCCCTGCAGCAGCAGTCCTTTGCCAGCGCCTGGCCAGTCGCCATACTCCATTTAGAGGGTTTCAAAACGTGCGCGAAGCACGGCCCATCACGACACAAAACCCGTCTGTGGGCCTTTACCGCTTTGCCACTGCCTTCCCAGGTCACCGCGAACACGTTGCCCTGCAGCGGCAGCCCTGTGCCAGCGCCTGGCAATGTCGCCATACTCCATTTAGAGGGTTTCAAAACGTGCGCGAAGAACGGCCCATCACGACACAAAACCCGTCTGTGGGCCTTTACCGCTTTGCCACTGCCTTCCCAGGTCACCGCACACACGTTGCCCTGCAGCGGCAGCTCTGTGCCAGTGCCTGGCCATGTCGCCATAATCCATTTACCGCCTTGCCACTGCTTCCCCCGGTCACCGCAGCGCCTGGCCATGTCGCCAGAATTCATTTAGAGGGTGTCAAAACCTGCGTGAAGCACGGTCCATCAGGACACAAAACCCCGCTGTGAGCCTTTACCGCTTTGCCACTGCTTTCTCAAGTCACCGCGAACACGTTGCCCTGCAGCGCCAGCCGTTTGCCAGCGCCTTGGCGCTGCCACGTGGCAATAATCCATTTCCTTCTCTCCAGGTTCACTCCATTGCCAGCGCCTTGCCAAGTCACAGACCTGTCTCTATTGGGTTTGGTCTTGCCATGCGTGTCAGAAGCTCCGTTGGGTTCCTTACCTTGCTACCCACCTTTCTCGTTCACAGGGCCGTCCAGATGGTGCGCTATGCTTGACGTGGATTCGTCCGGTAGCACGTGCTGACCACACAACCGTCCCACACAGTGGGCACTTGTGTGCAGGATAACATCGGATAACATCGGATAACCATGGCCCTCCAAATGGGGGTCGGCGGCACCAGGGCGTTAGCCCATTTATATACATCTGATTCTATGGATTAAGAGTGCGTCCATCCCCCAAGGCGGGTGCCACACATGTTGACACACCTTCATTGTTCGCATCACCACCCCTAAAATGAGTTTTTGCACGTGGTTGCTACTCACTCATGACTATTAATTTCATACTGCCACGTGTAGCTCATATCACAAACGTGTTGCATGTTCTAAGTACCTGTTCCTGCAAGCTAAAATGAGTTTTTGCACGTGGTTGCTACTACCTCATCACTATCAATTTCATACTGCCACGTGTAGCTCATATCACGAACGTGTTGCATGTTCCAAGTACGTGTACCTGCAAGCTAAAATGAGTTTTTGCATGTGGTTGCTACTCACTCATCACTATTAATTTCATACTGCCACGTGTAGCTCATATCACAAACGTGTTGCATGTTCTAAGTACGTGTTCCTGCAAACTAAAATGAGTTTTTGCACGTGGTTGCTACTCACTCATCACTATCAATTTCATACTGCCACGTGTAGCTCATATCACAAACGTGTTGCATGTTCTAAGTACGTGTTCCTGCAAGCTAAAATGAGTTTTTGCACGTGGTTGCTACTCACTCATGACTATTAATTTCATACTGCCACGTGTAGCTCATATCACAAACGTGTTGCATGTTCTAAGTACCTGTTCCTGCAAGCTAAAATGGGTTTTTGCACGTGGTTGCTACTCACTCGACTCATCACTATTAACTTCATACTGCCACGTGTAGCTCATATCACGAAGGTGTTGCATGTTCTAAGTACGTGTTCCTGCAAGCTAAAATGAGTTTTTGCACGTGGTTGCTGCTCACTCATCACTATCAATTTCATACTGCCACGTGTAGCTCACATCACGAACGTGTTGCATGTTCTAAGTACGTGTTCCTGCAAGCTAAACTGAGTTTTTGCCCCTTGGTTGCTACTCACTCATCACTATCAACTTCAAACTGCCACATGTAGCTCATATATCAGGACCGTTTTGCATGCTCCAAATATGTGTTCCTGTAAGCTAAAATGAGTTTTTGCACGTGGTTGCTACCCACTCATTACTATCAACTTGATATACACGATCGTGCTATATGTACTGCGGAAGACATGTCGCTGCAAGAAATATGAACCGCAAGAAACCTACCAAAACAACACTCATCACAAATCAAACAACATCACACCCAAATAGTTCTAAGTACCGCTGTTCTGTTTACAGTCTAAGTACCTGATTTTTGTTCTAAGTACCCATGTTCCAACCAGTACGTAGAACAAGTCTCCCTGCAACTTGGGAACAGGATTTTTTTGCAAAAGTTATTCTAAGTGTAAGTCGGCAACTATATAGCAAGAAGAATAATCACAATCATAATATCAACATTCATATTTACCAGTAGTACCGCACAAGGCGGTGGCGGAAGTTTCAAAAATAGGAAACCTATAGGAGAGATTGGCTGTTGTGAATCAGGGATGGCAGAGCGAATCCACTGATGGACCGAAAGGTGCTTGAGGTCTCCTCTCTTTCTCTCTCTTTCTCTGACTATCTACTTACCTACCAGCCTATCTTCTATGTATCTATCTATCTATCGATCTATCTATCTCTCTCTTTCTCTCTTTCATCTCATTACCTATCTACCTATCTACCTATCTACCTATGTACCTATCTACCTATCTATCTATCTATCTATCTATCTATCTATCTCTATCTCTCTCTCTCTCCTCTCTCTCTTTCATCTGTCTATCTGTCTAGGTGTCTACCTGTCTGTCTATCTATCTGTCTATCTGTCTACCTGTCTATCTGTGGTGCAGTGTCATTCAGTGTAATGTAGTGTAGTGTAATGTAGTGTAGTGTAGTGGAGTGTAGTGGAATGTAGTGTAGTGTAATGTAGTGTAGTGTAGTGTAATTTCGTATAGTGGAGTGTAGTGTAGTGGAGTGTAGTTGTGTAGTCGTAGTTGTAGTTGTAGCTGTAGTTGTAGTGTAGTGGAGTGTGGTGTAGTGTAATGTAGTGAAGTGACACAGTGAAGTGTAGTGGAAGGTAGTGTAGTGTAATGTAGTGTAGTGTAGTGGAGTGTAGTGTAGTGTAATGTAGTGTAGTGTAATTTAATGGAGTGGAGTGTAGTGGAGTGTATTGTAGTGGAGTGTAGTTGTGTAGTTGTAGTTGTAGTTGTAGTTGTAGTGGAGTGTAGTGTAATGTAGTGAAGTGTAGTGGAAGGTAGTGCAGTGTAGTGCAATGTAGTGTAGTGGAGTGTAGTGTAGTGTAATGTAGTGTAGTGTAGTGTCATTTAGTGTAGTGGAGTGTAGTGGAGTGTAGTTGTGTAGTTGTAGTTGTAGTGTTGTGTAATGTAGTGTAGTGTAGTGGAGCGTAGTGTAGTGGAGTGTAGTGTAGTGTAATGTAGTGTAGTGTGGTGAAGCGAAGCGACATCTGAACCTCCAAAAGTGGTCCGAACCCCAGGTGTTTTTAACATTTTGACTTCGAAATGTGCTTCGCGTCACAACGGCGTGCACTTTTTCGACATCTGAACCTCCAAAAGTGGCGCGAACATGTAGTGTTTTGTACATTTTGACTTCGAAATGTGCTTCGCGCCACAACGGCGTTCACTTTTTCGACATCTCAACTTGCAAAAGTGGTCCGAGAATGATGTGTTTTGTACATTTTGACTTGGAAATGTGCTTCGCGCCACAACGGCGTACACTTTTTCAACATCTGAACCTCCAAAAGTGGTCCGAACCCCTAGTGTTTTGTACATTTTCACTTCGAAATGTGCTTCGCGCCACAACGGCGTGCATTTTTTCGACATCTGAACCTCCAAAAGTGGCGCGAACATGTAGTGCTTTGTACATTTTCACTTGGAAATGTGCTTCGCGCCACAACGGCGTGCACTTTTTCGACATCTGAACCTCCAAAAGTGGTCCGAACCTGGTGTGTTTTGTACATTTTCACTTGGAAATGTGCTTCGCGCCACAACGGCGTGCACTTTTTCAACATCTCAACTTCCAAAAGTGGTCCGACGCTGGTGTGTTTTGTACATTTTGACTTCAAAATGTGCTTCGCGCCACAACGCCGTGCACTTTTTCAACATCTCAACTTCCAAAAGTGGTCCGACGCTGGTGTGCTTTGCACATTTTGACTTCAAAATGTGCTTCGCGCCACAACGGCGTGCACTTTTTCGACATCTCAACTTCCAAAAGTGGTCCGACGCTGGTGTGCTTTGCACATTTTGACTTCAAAATGTGCTTCGCGCCACAACGGCGTGCAATTTCTCATCTCTCATCTGGCCAGCTGCCTCCGCACCCGCCGCTTTAGCGAGCCTACTTTTCGAGCCTCCGGAGCCCCAAATCATTGGAAAAACACAGTGTTTCGCGACTTTCTTACCTTTTCGCGCATCTGCATCTTCTTTCTTCTGACTCTTTCTCTTCTACTCTTCTCTCTTCTAATCTTTCGCTTCTCTCTGCCTCTGCCCTGCTCTGCTTTTCATCTGTCCATATTGTCGGAAGTTTGACTTCTAAACTTCCTTCGATAATGCACAATCATATTAATAACTTAATCATCGTCATCACCATCACCATGACCATCACCATCACCATCACCATCGCCGCCACCACCACCACCACCAGCATCACCACCATCATCATCATCATCATCATCATCGGCATCAGCACTCTGTGTCTCTCACACAAGCAGGCGAAGTTTACTATGCAAAGCACCAAGTATCCAGTTCTGCTGGACCGCGAACTCCCAGCAAAAGTCGCTATGGAAGTCATCCTCTGATGCAACCTTGAACCATTGGAACTTGTAGTATGATATCGACAGACATCAAAACAAGCCAAAAAAAAAGATTGCTGAACTTCCAGTTTCCAACAAGTGTGCATGGAGACACGCTGTTCGAACACTGAAGCCACCAAGACACCCAGGACATGTCAGTCTGGCATGACATCTCCGTCGTGCAGCCAGACTGACTCGACTGAGATGTCTTGTGCGACTCTAAGTGCCTCAGAAAGGCACCGTGCTTGGCGCTGGAAGCAAAGGTGATAGCGCGGCACCATGGACATGTGGGGTCCCTTCCAAACGTCCAAACGGCGATGACTATCCTTGGATCTTGATGATTCTTGATCTTCCAAATTGTAAGCTGAAAAATGGCGTTGATGCAATGTCCTGAAGCCCCTAGCAGTCCTACGATGGGAACCAGGCTAAAAGACCACACCCCCCCTTTGCAACTACACACCCTTGTCATTGCTACGAGAACCAGGCGTTCACAAAGAATTTGGTATTGTAAAGACTTGCCAGGTGCAAAAACTCTCCCTGCATGAAACAACCATGTTGCTGTAGCTGCCGTGATTTGCTCAAAATTAGGCCTGCTACTTGGAGTAGGTTTAGCCCCTGACTCTACCATCTCAATGTAACCCAAAGCAAGGCGCTGTTTCAACGCTTTCTTGTTGAAGCACTTCGAACAAATGCTGCACTGAAATGGATTTCCTTAAGATCAACGCGGAAAACAACAGGTGGTCAGCCTGTAGTGATGATCAACAGGGCTGTCAACAATGCTCCCAAGCAGTCCGACTATGTGTCCACTCACCTCATCTCACCTGACAGGACCTGACATCCTCTATGTGTCACTATGAGGCTCCATTTTTGTGCTGCACAATCGTCACCTTCAACTCGCGGGCCAGCCGATCACCTGATCCAGAACCATCAAATCACAGCCAAATGAAGGTCCAAATGAAATCACAGCCTACCCTCCATACCAAAGATCCGATTTGGAAAAAAACAAGAAGGTCATGCAATGTCATGCATTTACTGCATGCAGATCAATTCCCAATGCTCTATGCCAAGTTGCAGTCTGCGGCCAATCTGAAAACATTGGCGCCCGACTTCATGTACCAACCCCATGAATTGAAGCAGCTTTTGCAGTAGAGTTTATCCGCGCAGTCAGCTATTGCTGGTGGCATCGTCTGGGCCGGTGGGCCCAAACCCTGCCATGGGTCATTCGACCAACTCAACTCCCAGGCCTTTGTGGATTCCTGCAGGATGCCGCGCACGAACTCTCTCAGTGATAGTATAAACGTAGGAACCAGTTCTATCTGCTTGGAACTAGTGGCTTGGAGAATACACATTGTCCAGTGGCTTCAGGTTATATATTGTTTGTGATCCCTGTTGCCCTGGACTTTCCAACGATTTTCAATATAGCCACCAATCACAATGAATTCTCAAAAACAAGTCTTTTTGATGGACAATAGCTGAAAAACGGTGTGTTTTCTGGGGTGAATGTAATTGTTCCTCAAGGCATGTTAGGTTCTGGCAGAGAATCGTTGTTTCGGCTAGCAGCTTTTCGCGATATTTCCACAAAGTTGTGTCCAGTGCAAACAATCATGTCCAAGCATCAGATTTTTGAAATTAGACTATCCAAGCTTTGGCTCGAATGTGAAGGAAATTTTGAGCTGCAGATCCAACAGTGGCAACCGGAAAGTACTTTCGCTTAGAAAACTGGAGATGTTGTCTTGAACCACTAAAGTTACATGGTTTTTAATTTCTGTCAGCCCAGGTTCATTCCACTTCATGACCTCTGTCGTTAGCCAAGTTGTAGACTGGCGCAATTCAATCCAGGACCAAGCTCCACCTTGGAAGCGAGACACAACAAATGAACGCAGGTCGAAAAAGGGAATGCCCTACGAATCCTTTAAAACCTCTACCTTAACAACATCATCAAAGATCAACAAAAAATAACATGTTTGGAGCGTCTGACTTCAGGCTACTGAAATGACAGATCTTTTAAGCTCAAATCTAGCGTGTCCCGTGGGACAACCCCAAAATATCCGAAAGTCATCGAAACTGGCCTACAAACACAAAATGGTTAAAAAGACATGAGCTGAGAGCGCGCGATGGATCTTGCACCAGGATGTCAGGGATGCAACGTGAACATGTCACACAATGTGAAGATTGGAAGGTTTGGCTTCCGAGAACGTGATCTTAGAACAGGTAATGTGGCTTCTGAAAAAACTGCACAGATCTGCCCAGCACAACAGGCTCCTATTGTCTTCACATCGTCAAGGTCTCTTTTGCTTTGAACATCTTTGAAGTGTGTTTGCCTTTGAGCCTCTTCAATGAAGAAACCGCAACAAACTCGAAGAACTTTGATCAAAGACACGAGCAAAGGGCTTGTAGTCCCACAGTACCATGGGCACTTGGTGCTCCATGGCGCTGTCACACCTACAGCATTTGCAGAGCGCGGGATCAAACGACGAAGCTGCCGCCATTGCACCGAGCTGAAGGCTGAAGGGCTATGGTTTCGAGCTGCAAGCCAGAGATTTAAAGAATCTTACAAGTAGTTGCAATATGCTGCTATAAAACAGACAGTGTAGATCAGTATAGTATATATAATATACACATGCAGGAGACTCTGCAAACATCTTGAACTTGTTCCACCATTTTAACATATTCAATAACCACTTTTGTCGCATGGAAAGCAATCACCTAATTCCACTGTGGTCCGATGTTTATGAAACTTTAAAGGTTCGCATCTCAATACTTTGACTTTTCCAGTTGCACGGGACGTCAACAATCCTGCGTCCTGTGGTGAAAGAACTATGAGCTTTGAAAACTCTTCCTACCCACATCGAAGTCAAATGGCCTCGTGGCAAATCGTGGCAATGGCACCTGGCGCTAACTGGAGAAAATAAGAAAAATAAACGTGCAACTATGCCATACGTGCAACATCGTGCAACTATGCCATGATTCCAACCAAAGAAGCAATTCTGTGCCGTCCCATGAGAATCATCCCCAGGTGTAACAAGTGTGTGAGCCAGCTGCTGTATTGCTGCAATCTTTTCCAATACATTTTTCGGGCTTTGAAGAAAAGTTTCAACTTTATGTCAAGCGATTCCGGGATATCCCTCGGATGGTCGACGCAAACCATCAGTTCAAAAAACCTTCACTGAATGAGTCAAAATGCCCGACATCCGGAGTTGCTCTGTATGCTGATCATTTGGGCTCTAAACAACCATGATCTTCAACGTCTCACCATCAAAGTCTGCCACTGTCTATAGACAAAGCAACTGAGGAGTTGCTTTCAGAGCAGAGTTCTTTATGACCATTGATTTCACATTGCATTGGTCCAGGCTCCTCAGCCGGACCACCAAACAGTATCGAATGGCGCCAAATCGTCAAATCGTCGTCAGACTGGCAAGTGTCTTCTGAAACTCCTCAGTTTTTGATCCTTTTTTGAAATCAATGGTCTGCTCTGAAGGAATCTCTTTGGCTGGACCCACTTTGGACTCCAGCGAACTTGTTTTGGATCAACAAAAACTCACGGTAGGATGTATGCGGCATTGAGAAAACGCAAGCCTAGAAGGTGGCCTTTATCCAACTGTGTGCAACTCGTCTACATGGATTTTTTATCGGTTTGCGACAGGTTCTCCCGAGAAGTCTGTGAAGGCTCGTTATCACGGCTCGGCCCAGGTCTGGGTAGGAACACCCTGATTGCTTAATGTTCAGCAGGTATAAGTTCTTTAATCTCGCGTCTAAGATGTCATGTAATCTCCCAAAACCCTTTCGCAGGCTCTGACCCGTTTGCAAATGTGATCCGACTTACAACTAGCAACGTCAAGGTCATCAGGGTGCAACCCTCCATCACCTTTTGCGAGGTGGTTTGACAAAAAATTGGCCCTGCTGATTTGAACCATCTGCGAATGACTGCAATATACAGCAATCGTCAATCTGAACATGAAACGATGGGTTGGACCCGTTGGACAAAGGGATTTCTGAAGATTTCCCGCCACCGCGCAAACAATTCGGAGCGTGCTGCATCCCTAGTGCGCACGGAGATGGATTAAGACCCTTCTCGTGCACAGGGAACATTCCAAAGATCTAAGAAATTGGAGCAAACAATCGCCGATTTCCACTAACAATGAAGACCTTCCCGTGGAGGTCTTGCACACCTACCAGGGCCGGAATGTCCTCCACCTGAGTCTCACCACTCAGCAGCTTGTTCGTCAAAGTTTGCACCGACTCGCCTTTGCACCTTCCATTCCGGAAAGTCATTGAGATGGATGCATGTGCAAAATGCAACTGCTCAACATCAATTCTTTGGATGCAATGAGCCCAGGTGCAGTGGTCAAACTTTGGACTGGCCGGGTCCCAGTCCCGGTTTTGCTGCGCAAGGCGCAAGAACTCAGGACCTCTTGGGGTTTGACCAGGAGCTCCAACCGATTGGTGATTTGGCTGGTCCTCGAGCTCCATCACCTCATCCTCCTCTGAAGATTCTACGGACTCTATCTTGACTTCTAACAATTCCTCTTTGATTTCATTTTCTTCTTTCA